TGTGTGTGTGGTGTGTGTGTGTGTGTGTGTGTGTGTGTGTGTGTGTGTTGGGATGAGGTTCTGAGAGAAAAACGATGAGAGGAAACAAATAACAGGACAAAATTTGGCAACAGGGACCAGAGGATGAGTGGCTGAACTCTGGGATTTTCTGTTTTCCTTTTGGCTCGATTCTCGCTTCGTCTTCCTCTTTCCTCATCAAAGACGTTTGACAGCTGACTTCTGGCTGCTCACATCAGACGACCACGGCGGAGCAGAGGGGAGGGGCCGCTGAAGCCAGAACAACACTTTCATTATATTTTCCGGAGCAGGAAAACTGGCCGTTAATTGCTGAGGTTTTTTCCTTCTTTTTTTAAAAAGACATCCTGGATGTGACGGAAAACAAATGAAGAATCACAGCTCCGCATGGCAAAAACAATGAACTTCACCAAGTATTTTTGTCTAGTTTCTTACTCACTTAAAATATGTCAAAAGAGCTAGGACAGGATACGATATAGCAGCTTGATTTAAGCAAATAATTCCTCAATATTAATAAAAAGATCCCAAAAACAACCGAAGAGCTTAGAAAAAAGAATCAAACCACCTGAATGAAACATCATGAATCAGAAGGCGCTGCAGCCTTACCTAGCAACCCCAGCAGGTTTACTGGTGTATGAGCTGTACAATGGCTGCTGGAAAAGTCACACTGTAAAAACACAAAATCTGACCAAGTGTTTTGGGTCCAGTTTCTATTAAACATGCCAGATTACACTTGGAATAAGATAAAACAAACATACTAGTAACTTTTCTGCAACATATCAGGGTTTACGTTAAAAATCCATTAAGATTGATTAAAAAAGTTATTGCAAGATTATGTCTCTTATAACGGGAAATGTCTTGTTATAAGTGAAATAATCTGCTGGTGGAACAAAAGCTTTTTTTAAATCAGTGTCAGGAATTATTTACTTAAAAAAGCTCCTGTATGTTTCTGAAATGTTACTTGTAAGTTAGTTTTGTCTTTTTTACAGTGTATTCAGATGTCTACAGTAGAAACTAGACAACAATACTTGGTAAGGTTTTGTGTTTTTGCAGTGCTTGGTGCTCTAAAAAGCCAGCTTTGTTAGGTGTGTGAGTGTGATAAAGTGAGCAGCAGCTGAAATGAGGGGGAAAGCCTGGAGGGCGTGCAGATAACTATCGCAGAGGCTGTGAATCAGCGGCTGACTCAGACAAAAGGCTAACAGCGCGGAGGAACGGATTCCAGCGAGAGAAAAACAAGGTGACAGAGAAACCGGGCTATCATGAGAAAATGAAACGTTGAGGCTTGAAAAACAGCCTGAAAGAGAAAAAACACAGCAGAGACCAGAAAACCTTCTGAAATATCGGTCACACTTTTTCTAGTCCTGAGACGGGATTTATATGGAGGAGGATTACAAAAAAAATACAGATTCTGACTTTAATCAGCAGCATAAAAAGAAATTAATTATAAAAATATCCATCCTTCCTCAAAAAACTTAGTTCTCCTGCAGGCACCAAGCTGCATTAAAGTGGGAATTCTGAAATTAAAGTCACATTTTGGGTAAAAAAAAAAAAAAGTCAGGATTCTAAGATTAAAGTGAGAATTTAAAGATTCAAGTGAGAATTTAAAGATTCAAGTGAGAATTATAAATACATAAATAAAATAAGTAACAGTCAATCTATCCTCTGAGCGGGGAACATCTGCTCTACATATGGGTTTGCCAACTCCCCTCTGACTGCTGCATGCATGTAAGCAATAGAAAACTTACTATTGTTGCACAAAAAGAAAGGCTATTTACTTGTGTAGCCCTCGTTTTAATGCCACCCTGGGCAATTTCCAACATGCTCCACATCAGGCTCATAAGGTTGTTAAAACATGAAGGGTTTAAGAGCAGGAGAGAGAGAGCAGAAATTTCTACACTTTTAAATGAAGATACATTGATTGGAAAGAATAAGAATACGCGGTTGGTTATTTATGGTTATTAATGCAAGAAAAATTGAGAAACTTTTATTCCAAATTATGAATCAAAGTACAAATCAGTGGCAGTTATCTGAGATATTCAAATCAAAAGTGCATCAAGCTGCATGTTGATGCATTTATTTATTGAAAACAGTTCTTAGTTTTCATTAATGTTATGTAGACCAACCGCTTTTTCTCACATTTTAATATTTTAAAGCTCGCATTTTGCAAAATCTCCACTTTCAAGAACAAAAACATTTAAAGTTCAAAGAAAAATCTTTTAAAAAAACCAAACTCTACAAACTACTGATGAGTCATCAAGATCACAAATGTGTCTGCAGGATAAATTGTCCCAGAAGTTGTTTTGATAGACAATAACATTGTTTTCAAGTAATATAATGATGATAGCATAATAATCCAAGAATTCAAAGATCAATAGTCTTTCAATTCTAATGAATATTTAATACTGGAACTGGAAAACATTTTAAAATCCAAAATAAACAAACAAAACAACAAATTAAAGTCATTATAAAGTTCTTGATACCACAACTCCAGACTGAAGACTTTTGTCATCCAGTTTTTGGTAGAAAGAGAGAAAAACAACACATCGAGTTTGTTTTAACTTATCATGCGATCAATTGACTTATTGCTTATTGAGACAGGCCTATTGATCAGGCCAAAACAAAAAACTCTGGAAGTGATTTTAAACACATTTCTCTAAGCTCAACTTGCACAATTTTGTCTTGATATTCTGACTGCAAAAGAGAACGAAAGAAAGTGTCGGGAGCTTAATTGAAGAATCAATTAAAGTAACAACAACGTTTCTCCCCGACTGTTCAAACACAGAGAGAGAGAGACAGAGAGAGAGACACATGGGACGGATGAAAAGAAACAGACAAACGAGTTCATTTAAAGATGTTTTTGGCATCTACAGCAGGCGAACCTCAATCCAGCTCCCTGGGATCTGCATAAATTGAGGGCTTGGGGAGTTGTGGCAGTATCCCCAGTATTATGCATATTAGTTTAAGGCTGTCACTGAGAATCAGCCGGGGTGTCCATCCCGCCGCGGCTAGGCGCTGCTAATTATTGGATCAGAGATGAAGTGGCTTTTTTGCGCTTGCTCTGACGGCTCTTTGAAAACTGGCTGTTTATATAAAAATAGGAGACAAAAGGAAAAAGAAGAGCGGCCTAATTTTGAGTTCAGAGAGCGCCGTTGGGTCAAGAATCGATCAAGTGGAAAACCTTTGAGTCGTTGGGCCGACTTGTCACGTCTGCCCGGGTTTTTCTGGAAGCGGAATAACGGGATCCTCCAAGTGAGGAAAAATACTGCTGCCTTTGATACAAACTGAAACATCTGAATCTAAAGCTCCATGCAACTCCAGCATGTTAAAAAAAATGGCTGCCTGTGTTATGAGAGCTTTTCAAACACCCAGAGACCCCAGAAGCCATGAAATCTTATTAAGCTGAAGCATCTCATTAAGGTTCTGCTTCATCCAACCTGTTCTGCTTTACAAAGGCGACATATGCAGCCCATATGGACACCAAGCCTCCACCAGCAGCAAAACAACATAATCCAGCTCCTGTCAGGAGGAGACGCAGTGAGTGCAGCTTTCTGACCTGCCAGTCTGGGTTTGACCGAGATCTGGATCAATTCAAAACGAGACTGTGATCAGAATCAATACTTGGCTGCCTGCCGAGTTTCCCCTTGATCAGCCTTGAAACTGATCACCAAAACTCAGAAATTAAATCTTTTTTTCTGATCAGTGAACTCACCACACCTAAAAAATACCATGTAGGGCTGAAACAATTGATCGTATTAATCATGATGAATCGATTATTGACATAATTCAGTAATAAATTAATTGTTACAGACTCATAAAAGGCAATTTGCTGAAGAACACCACTGACAGAGCAGGAATTAAGCAAAAACTGTACAAAAAAATTTACATTTTCTACCCCAGTTTTGAAACTTAAGATGTGGAGCTGGTCAGACTCCCTGGTCCAGTACTGGACTGATTCCAGTCTGACGGAAAGAACCGGGATTTCTTTGTGTCAATAGGAAACTTCTCATCTAAACAGACAGAAGTCAAATGTGGAGTACCCCAAGGTCCAACCTGGGATCCTTCCTATTTAATATCTACATGCTCCCAGTGGCTCAGGTAATAACAGGAAATCAAATAGGAGATAGTGACGCAGATGATGCATCACGATCTAACCTGAACATTCAGAGCCACATAAAGACAGTCACTAAGTTGGCCTTCTGTCATCTGAAGAACATTTCCAGGATTAAAGGACTACGATCTAGAGAAACTAATTCATGCCTGTATCTTCAGTCACATTGATTACTGCAACAGTGTCTTCACAGTCCCACCTAAAAACAAATCAATCCTCCAACTGCTGCTGATCCAGAACGCTGCTGCTGGCGTTCTGACTAAAACCATGGAGCACATCACCCAGTTCCCTGCAGCCCAGAGAATATAAACACTGTTTATAAATCACTGAATGGTTCAGTTCTGATTCTCCACAGAACAGCAGAAACACTGAGCTCCAATAAATCAAGGCTAAAGACCCGCCTGCTTACTGCTGCCATCGATTCCTAATGACTGGAGCACTGATCAATATATTTGATTCGGGTTATTTTTGATGAATCTAATGATGGCATTTGAGAAAATGTAATGTTTCACCAGGAAAACCAAACTTCACAGCGCACTACATTTTATACCACTTCAACTTTAATTTCTACAGATTATTCAGTAAGATAGCATGAATTATGCGCATTGCAATGTTGCATTCACAGACAACTAAAAAAATCTGGTCAAAACCTGTATGGTTCAGACATTTTTCACACAACAGAAGAAAAAACGCAAACATGCAGGCATTCGACACCATTTGGGTTAGCAGAGAGCGCTGCACAATGGCCATGGTGAGGTTATGGTGGACCTGCTTAGGATTAGTCTGTGAGCGCAAGCTCTCAACTCAGTGTTTAACAGTTTACAAAGGAAACTTGACAAAGATTAACCAGACAGGGAGGGCATAGAGGTGGTCTTACCATATTCTCAGATGTACGCCGTTTTCATTCTCTGGCCTGTACCTGCAGAAAATTGCATCTTTTTTAACAGTTTGTTGTTTTTCTTAGCCTAACTGGACGCTAACCGTCCAAGTGGACTTACACAGACCATGAAAATACTGACATTTAACCTAAGGTGTAATTCTCAGTGGATTACAGCTGCAGAGCTAAGAGGATGGCTTGAAAAGCACAGATAAACAAGGTCAGCAGAGAGACATACTGTGGTGCAGAAAAATAGTGCAAATCCCAGAATCTGTAAGTACTCCGAAGAAAAGGACAGACTAATCCCAAAGTAGGTGTAATATGTGGAGGCAGTGGCAGGATAAAGGATGAATGGATTAGGGGATGCTCAGGGTACAAAAAAACAAAAACAAGTCGGGTCAGAACGCTGATGGGTGATGAATTTGGACCACGTTTGGCTCTACTTTCATTTGCATTTAGTCCCGTTTTTAGTGGGAAATAATTATGCAGCAGAACACCGAAGCAGATTATTAATCCCAAACTCCTAAATGCAAAACCACACAGAAGCTGCAGCAGCACTCACCTGTGGCCGTTTCCTGCATCTTCTCCCTCTTCCGCTTCTTCTTCTTCCCCTAAAAATATACAGAGGAACGCATAAAGTGTGGCTCCAGCACTCACGCTCACTAGACCACTCGGATATCCTGCTGCTGACTGCCATGTTCACTCATCCCCTGCTGGGCAGCCGAGCAGCGAAACCCGGGTCGCCGCACTCCACCGCAACCCGCAACCCTGAGAGGAACCGAGTGTCGTCTGCTCTACAGAGCCGGACCCGCTGCAGAAACACTGAACCTCACACAGTGCCATCGGCCCGGTTTAGTGGAGAACCTCAGTCCAGGTTAAATGAGATCAAACTAACTTACAGGTAACTTCAGCAAGATACAGGAGCTGGTTTTACAAAAATAATTATTTAATATGGATTTTAAAAACGTTCTAGTTCCAGTGGCTGATTAAGTCACCTGTAACATGTTGCATTTTTTTCTTGTTTTAAGTGAAATAATCTGCCAGTGGAACTCAAAACTTTTCCATCAATATTAAAATCTGACTTGCTGACAAGTTACTGGCAAGTTAGTTTGGATTTATTTCAACTCTACTTACTAATTCAGTGTTTTCCAAAGTCAGAAAGTGAGTTATAAAAAACTTTAAAAGATTTTAGTTTAACTTATTGAAAGGTAATTCGTGGCGCTCGTCTTTCTGATAGCAGCGCTTCGATTGCAGTTTCCTGGATCTTTAAGAACCTTGAGCTGCTGATTCAGGTTTTAGCCAATATGAACGTTTTGGTCGCCCAAAATGAAGAAAATCGGGCCGATTTATCTGGTACACCCATCCGCTCTGAATGGCTGCCAGTCAAATTTAAGCTGCTTTGCTCCTCAAGCTAGCGTAGCAAGCACCATGGAAACGTTTGTGACAGGAACCGTCCAGCAGCCACACCGCAGTAAACCAGCTAAAACCAGCTAAAACCAGCTAAAACCAGTTAAAACCAGCTGAAACCAGCTAAAACCATCTAAAACCAGCTAAAACCAGTTAAAACCAGCTGAAACCAGCTAAAACCAGCTAAAACCAGCTAAAACCAGAGGCAGCAATTATGCTACACAAATGCAATAATTATTCAATCGTGAATACAAGACAAAAAAATTCTCAAACTCGATGTTTCTTCACATATTTTGTAGCTTTGTTAGCATTGTTCTTGGCTAGCAAGTAGCTACTGCTGAACTGAGATACACTGCAAAGTAAAAATACTTGGTAAGAGTAGCTGTTCAAGTCTATATTCTGCTAATGAACACATTTCTGCAATTCCTGTTTCCATTAAATAAGACATTAAATTAAATTAAATTGGCGCTAGCACTCGTCATCTATCAGCCAATCAGAGGAGACGTTGGCGTCTTATTCAGTGACAAGCCCCGCCTACCGGGAGTGGCTACGTATGCAGCATTTTGGGGGTGACGTATTCGGCGATTTTACAGATGCGCTATGGATTCTTCTATGACTTTTCATGAACTGGGTGATGTGAACTGCAGTTTGACTGAAAACCCCAAACACACCATCATCCTCCCACTACTTCCTGTCGTCTTCTTTGTCGTTTCTGTCAGTAGCCTATTAACATCTGGCTGTGGATCACATGACTCGTGTGATGCTAAAAACGTGTTTTGATATACCTGAAAAAACCTAATTGAAAAACGTATTTGTTATTTTTAATGTTTTCACTGAGCAAATCTATTTCAAGTTGCTTCGTTTGATGGTTAATGACAACGCAGCTGGTGTGTGTTTTTGCAGTGCATATCAAACTGTTCTGTCTACATCTGAAGTCGTGAAGATGAGAAACAATAAGAGCAATTAAAATATTCACTAAAACTGGAGCAGTGTCCTCTGCAGAAAGCAGCGCTCTCCTTCCAGTAAGGACATGCGAGGATTTATAGCTTCAGCTAAATCCCCAAAGGGGGGGACTAAAGGTATAGATAGCGGAGAGGAGTCGTTCTACTCAAATATGAGAAGCACTTTGGTTTCCAGCTGCAAAGTCTGCTAATCCACTTATTCATGAGCTAATCTGCCTTCTGCCGCTGCGGCAGGCGTCGAGGAGGACAGAGCGAGCGAGTGTGGGTGAATGGCGGGATGAAAGAGGTGCGGCACGCCTGAACTGTGTGGGGTTTCCAGGCAAGACATGCTTCCAGTCAACAGCTGGTGATTCAGGCAAAGAATGAGTCATGCTCTTATCTCTCTGACGTGACTAACAGCAAGACGGTCGACTCGTCCTGGGAAAGCTGGAGCAGCATCTAATGCTGCGGCTGGGTGGCTCTCAGAGCAGCGGGTCGGCAGCGGAGCGGCGGCGGCACAAAGCAGGGGGCGCTGTCGATGTCCGAGGGGAGGCAGGTAAACACCACAAAGCACTTCGGTGGTGGAGTGAAGGTGAGTGCCGGAGCCACACTTTTAATAAAAGCTGGTGCTCTCTCTCAGAAAAATATCACACATTCACACACACACACACACACACACACACACACAAGGACATCTTTGGATACACACTCCTACAGTGCTAAAGTTAGAAAAGACATTTAAACTCAGTACTGTTGGACTCCAAGCTTCTTGAATACTTGCTTACTCCGTTTTTGAAGGAACACTCCTTTTCGCTAAACCACTAAACTAACAGATGTTGCTAACTTTGAAAACGCTCAGCTTCCTCTGCTTTCCTCAATTCAGCATTTATTTCAACATTTAGGATGAAACTTCACACGTCTGCAATGAACAGCGCATAATGCTCAGGCCATCTGGCTTGACTTATGTCTCTCCAGCATCTAATGCAGGGCACACTTCAGATGATGTGCAAAAAGTGGAGCTATTTTTTTGTTTTTTCTTCAAGTAGTTCATCCTTTATAGTCATGCTCTTATTTTGAAGGGAGTGAAGACTACTAACTCAGCAGTTTCATTCCCTGTCTTGATGAATTGTCTCTTTTTTTCCACCTATAACTTTATTTCAGGAAAAATAATAAAACAGGGAAGTCGAGAATAAGACATAAAATATATATATACAATATCTAAGCACATTATAGAAAATGTAAATTATAATATCAAAGTTAAATTGTTGCTGGAGGGTTGGAGTCTTTCAACATATACAATTTGAATTTAAGTTGCTAGCACTTTAACTTTAGCAGTAGCTTCCACTAAATACCATGTCGATTTAGCACTTTAGCATGACCAGAACTAATGATTGTTGTTAGCAACTAACTGTTTAGTTAATATAATACACTTTATTCAAAAGGGATCATATGGAGGACCTGTGTTTTGTGGAGCTATTTGCAGCATTGTCTTTTGATTTGCAGCATTTTTCCATTGGATTTACTTTTTTGTGTTTGTGCATTTTGGAGTTTGCATCATTCATGATTTTGCCGCGTTTTGCTGCACATTTGTTCCTCTCGGCTGCTGTACTTTTGAATGGGAGAATATTCTAAAAACCTCTGTACGTCCTAAACCTTTCTGATTGCGGCGCATTCAGAAACAAAATGCACAGCTGGGGGGAGCAGAGGTGAACTCTGGGAGGAACAATCCGGCCTCCTCGGCTCGCGCCGACAGCTGCTTCTACATCTGAAGCTCCACATCAAAGACCAGCATCACCATTACAAGGCAATTTTCACTCTCAGTGACAATAATAATCGCAGTGATCCTAACATCCGTCTCTGTGAGGATGGCACCATAACAGCGTTATGAATTTCACATTATGCAGAAACAAAGGCTCTGCAGACGGGCCCCATTAACACGGAGTCGGCTCCTGTGAATTAATGTGCGCCTTTAAAAGACTAAACACACAACAGACATAGAAACAACATGAATGCAAGCACGCGCACCGCTGCCGATCTGTTCTGTTGGTACTTACATAGTTGTCTCGAGCAGACCAGCCGGGGTAGAGCTGCATGTGGAGCTGCCGTTCCTTGCGGGCTAACTCATAATACTTAGCTTGCTCTTCCCGAGATAAAGCATGCCACTGTTTCAGTACAGATTAGAGGGGGACAAATACACAACAGTTAATTGTTATTATACAGTTGAGTCTTTAGAGTTTGGTCAAAAGAATCCATTAATCATCTAAATGTTGCTGCAGATTTGAAAACAACATTTAAATAAAGAATATTGTGTGATAAATTATAACAGTTCTGCTTGTTTCAAACATTTTCGCTGCTGCTTTCACTGCAGATACAGAAAAGTCTTGGCAAAAGGCTAAAGGTCAATTTTTTCTAGAAATGTCCTGCTCTGTGAAAATCAGAACGACCTGCTTTGAATCTCTCACCTTACAATTTCCCAAAGACAACGTGTTTGGAAAAAGGAAGTTATTGGCTTCATTCACAAGTGAACCAACATCGTGGTTTTCACATATACATTCAGCTACTAATCTGAATAATTTCAAATTTAAGATGAATAAAAAAAACTATTCCAATAAGAAATGAACATTTTAAATGCGACCCGACCTCCAGGTCGCATTCATCTGACCTGAGCGTCACTGATACTCGACACACGTCACTATTCTGCGTCTGGAAGAACAACAGCCATGGCGGACCGAAGTGAGGATTAAGTGAATTTGCTGCTCCGGTCGGACAACAAGCTCCAAATGTGTAAGTTATGCTTCACCATCAGAACAATGAGCAATTCTGCTTTTTATGGCAGTTGGCAAAACAACTGACATTATTGCGACCTCTTCTGCGCATGCGGGACACTTTCAGGTCATTCCACATACGGGTCACATGTATTGGAAATGTGAACAGCTTCAGCAAAAAAAACGCATTTGACAAAAAAATCGGAATTGGGTCACTTCAGGCTGCAGTGTGAACGCAGACTAATTTACAATCACTTTTCATTCAAACTGCATCGGCGAGCAATTATCATGTGATCCGAGCTGCCGGATCATTAGGGCTTTCAACGCGGATCCAGGTTTTTCACATTTCCAACTGAGCCATCATCAAGGCAGATTTTATGGCGCAATCTGACACAGGACTGAATCTGCAGTAATTGGCTCAGGCAATCATCACAAACTACAAAACCTCGCAGCACGCTGCGGTGATGCAGATGGAAGTCTTTGTAATTCCAGGATCCTAAACTGTGATCTTTAGGCGATCTGAGTTCTAAAGAAGAAAAAACAGAGAAAATGAGTGGGACGCGTGACGTACCCTCCGTCCCAGGATCTGATTGATGGCGGCGCTCTCCTTCAGCGTGCATTCGGCGACCACGTTCGCACGCATCTCTTTCATGTAGAGCATGAAGGCGTTTAGCGGCTTCTTGATGTGCGGCCTTTTCGGCTCCTGCTCCTTTCTCTGTTCGTGCTGGGACTTCCTGCAGACGCCGCGGACCGAGGTGAAGAAAATCAAAGAAAATGGTTGGAGAATGAGAGAAGGAAAAGGAGCGGAGCGGCACAAGGAGGAAATTGCGGTGCCACGATGGCGACTGGTTTCTCCCGGCCAATGGCGGGCCGCGTGAGAAGCGCAGCCACGCCACGGGCCCCGGCCTCTTTAATCATGTGCAGTTGCACACTCCCAGTCCTTCATGCGAAGAGATTACTTCATCATTAATGGCAACCAAACTTTGTCCACAGAACATTGGAAAGTACTTAAAACCAAATGCTGAAATCCCCCCAGTGAGCGCAGCGCTTTGCTCCCACTCTGACAATTCCCATGGTACCAATGAGAATACTGTAAAACACATGTGTCAAACTCGAGGCCCAGGAGCCAAATCTGCTCCGCCATAGCTGAAATTCATGCATTTTTCCATACTAATGCATAATTGTGAGGTTATTGCAAATTTTATGCTAAAATGCCCAAACACACTGGGTTCAAGTGATGCTACCCCCCCCTGCAGGTGGCAGTATTTCTTCTACTGCCTCAGCCTTACTCAATATTAAGCTGATCGATGCTGCGAGTAACACAATGGTACTTTCAATGTCATGCAGTAGCATAAAAATTGCAAAATTCTTTGCAAATATCTATGAATTATCTGTGATTTTGATTGCAAAAAGAGAAAAAAAAAATCTAAAGCTCAAAATCCTGGTGGAACCGATCAATGTGAAAAGATGTTCAGTATAATTTAACAAAAATAATAATGTTTATTAATGGATTTTATCAATGCATTTCAGCACAAAAGGCCCTTTGACATCATTTACAATGGCCCAAACAAAATGAGTTTGACATGGCTGCTGCACACAAAGAACCCCAGCAGTCTGAGGTGGACTTACATGTGCATGATGTCACTTTCATGTGGCGGCTCCTGTTTGACCTGCGGGTTGACGATGGCTGGATGAGGGATGCCTGTTGCGTGAGGGCCTGGGGGGCCGGGCACCATGTGGTGAGAGAACCTGCAGGAAGAAATTAAACACATATTTTACTTCTAGTTCATTAGACCGTCTGAAATTCTGGCTACAAATTTAAAACATTCTGAATTTTAAGGATTGTTTGGTGTTCTTGCAGCGTCTAATTATATAATAAAGCTAAATGAGCAGAACAAAAAGTAACTTGTAAACCATTTTGTTTTTGATTCACTTTATTGTTGAGTTTGAAGCTTATTAAGTTTAACTGAGAATATATTTCAACATTATGCAGAAAACTACAGGCAGTTGGATAGAAACACAATGTTTCAGTTGCTCAGCTGACTTAATCAACACCAGCAGAAAAATGGACAGAAATATTAGCCAATAGAAGACTTGCTAGTGGCTAATAGCAGAGCAAATTTTTCCGTTTGAAAAGGTTTAGCGCCCTTTGCTTCCTCTATTCCTTGGGGATAAATTCTAATTTACTTCTCTATTTTGTACATTCTCAGTTGAATAATATTCAACATCTGTGTCGAAGTTTTAGTTATCGACTTTTAAGAACTCAAGTTGTTAGACGTTTACATTTATGCTCTTATTTTGAAGTGAAAGTACTTCCCCTCATGGTATGTCCTTTCTCCCCTCAATAACTTTATTTAAAAGAAGAAACACACAGGAACAAAATAATGAAGAACAGAATATAGACATAAGGAAAATACCTAAGCGCTTTATAGAACTTGTAAATTATGTGAAAATGAAATTGGTGCTGGAGGATTTTAGTCTTTCAAGGCAGATATAATTTGAATATAGCGTCCTAGCATTAACTTTCAATAAATAGCAACGTTAGCAACAACTGGACCCATGAGTGACACTGCAGAGGCCGATACAACATGATGCTTTTGACACATGTTTGAAATTAGTAATTTACCATCAGTTTTCACAAAATACCACAGTGTAGGGATCAGCATTAGGAAAACTAACTTTTTAAACACTTTTTTAGCTTTTGGCTTGATTATGTGCTAGTTTCACTGGCAGATAATTTTACTCAAGACGTTTTCTCCATGTTGTAAGTGAAATAACCTGCCAGTACTTTTTCATCAATAATAAGAAATTATTGACTTAAACAAGCTCCTGCAGCTCTGAAAAGCTACTTGTAGGTTAGTTTTGTCTTATTTTAAGAGTACCAAGATTTTTGGACTATAACCTAAACAAAAATACTTTGGAACCACAACACAAAGACACAAAATCTTACTGGGTGCCAAGCAGTGGTTGCAGAAATGTGACCATGATTTAAAAATCCTTTAATGGTTCAAGACAGTTGGCAAAATTGGTTTTTGTCTTCAGAAGTGACACTAAATGAAAAATGGAGCCAAAAGCTGGAGGTAATCAGATTTTCAGAGAGGATGAATGACTGGTTTAACACAGTTGTGTGTTGCTTTCCACATGGCTTCACTCAGCCTGACACAAACTGAAAAAAAGATGAAGAAACGGAGCCAAACAAAAACTGGAAACGTATTTCTCAATCACAGACTGAGTGTTGAAGAGACGAGCGCTTCAGAAGCTTTGATGGAGGTTGAGGAGACGCAGCAGCGGGGGGGAAGCTGGATGTGCGGTGCGGTCGGAGCCACAGCAGCGCTGCAGAACCAGCCAGACGCAGACCTCCCTGCTGCAGCTGCAGACCGGCTCTGCTCACCAGAGCCAGCGGCTGCTCTGCGTCAGATTTATCACCCAGAACCGCCGTGTGTGACTCACCATCCCAGAGGGGGCGTGATCTGTCCCACTCCGCCAGGAGACAGGGAGTAGAAGTTGGGCATGTCTGGTCCAGGATGATGCCTGGGCATTCCTGCAAACAGACACCATGTTCAGATACAAAGCATACAGTCATAAACTGGACCAGGTCAAGTCTCTTCAAGGAACTTCACAACTTAAAAAAAATATAATCATGAAAACTAAGAGAAAACCTTACATTTTGTCTAATGCCGTCACTAAAATGATCAAATATGTTGATCAATGTTCCAGTCACTACCAATCAAAGGCAGCTCTAAACTTTTAGCCTTGCTTTAGAGGAACTCTGTGTTTCGGTCATTTTGTTCTGGAAGTTTGTTCCAGATTTGTAATCAGCATTCGGCTTCGAATGCTGATCTCCATGTTTTGGGTCAAAGTGTGCGTAAATATCTAAGTAAAACAAAAAATGCTGGCACGGTTTTTTTGGATGCCCGCCGCTTTATGCATGAAGCCCCTGGTCTTTAAGAAACTTTACACAGGTTTTACTGAGATTCACACTAAATGTCGTTTAAAGAGTGAAAAATTCTTATAGTTGGGGTCTGAAAATGACTTCTGACCTCACATTACTAATGCAGACAGAAAGGATGTGTGCAGAGCCAGATTCCTTTCACTGTTTCTGATTCCTTAAGCTGGATGGCTGAAGCTTTCTCCCTGCTAAGCTCCTCAATTTGCAGCTCCTACCGAGCTTCAAAGTCAAGAGGTTTATTTTACTGACACAACGTAGTAAAAACAGAACGGCAGGAGGACAAACATCTGCTTTACTTCCTGCTACTTTCAACACATCCCTCACTTCATTATGTTTCCCCCCCAAGCAGCCAGACTTACCTTAAATCTTTAAGAAACATTTCTCCAGGTGTTCTGAGAAAGTTGGACTTTGGCTGCTTGTCATTTGACAGGGTTTTGTATTTTTAACTATTATTGTTGACATTAATATTTAGGATATCTGATTGAAGTCCTGTTTTAGGTCAGACATTTTACATCTTTTGTTTTATTTAGAAAGATTCTACAAGGTTGGAATGCAACAAGCATTCCAACCTTAACGTTTTCATATTTTCTCAGATAAGATCAAACTTAAAAACATTTCATGTATAGTATTTTCCCAGACTATACGCAACTCTGGAGTAAAATATGCATTAGTCAAAAAACGCATCATGTAGAGGAAAAAGCCTATAAGACACTCTGTTGCATTTACCTAGAATTTCCAAATGCAGTATGATATGATCCGGTGACACGTTTTGTCCAGGTGCTTTTCAATAAACTTGAGGAACTGTGGACTTTGGCTTGGAAGTTTAGCATTTTCTGATGCAACGATATATGAGCTCTAAATCAGGAACGACTCCACTCCGCCGGTGAAGCGCGCAGCACAACGGAGACGCATGCAGTGTAAATCATGTGTCTCATGATGAGGCGGCTTCATTGCATAAAGCAGCAAAATCAAGAAGTTCTGCCTGCAAGGTCCTTTATACTCATTTCCTTGGCAACAAGGGCATCAACAGACAGGCTGGAGCACAGGGCATTTTGGGTAAATAGAACCAAAACAAACATGTGAGTTTAGCGCCAGCAAGAGAAATGGCTCATGGTCTTTTGCTAGAGAGAAAAGAGAAATACTGCAACCGCTAAAATCTGACGCTCCTCCATTGTTGTTTTTTTGAAGGAGGGTTTGGGCTCTTCAGAGGTTTTTGTGTTGTTTCCTTGCTGCAGAGCCAAGCGAGGAGGGGAACAGGTTGCTCAAAGCGCTTGGATCGTTTGTACATAAGAGAATCACAGCAGCTGAAAATGCAATAAATGATGCAATAGTTGGTTCCCAATTGAACAAAGACTACTGGACAATCTGGTGGGAAAACAATGTGGGCTCAGCTGTGCCGGGGGTTTTGTACAATCATATTGAGTTAAACTGGAAATAAAGTCCTGGACCCAAATCAGTTCCAGATTTGTATTTCTTTCATTTTATGCTTTTATGAAGGGTCAATTTTGGCCTGACTTGTGTGAAAACATTTATATACCCAACATTTTTTAATAAACTCAATTATTCATAAAACCTGTTGATTTTGTGTAAATTTGAAAGATTGGAAATTCATGCAAAACCTTTGCAGCCTTCAAGAAAAAAAGCTGCATTTACTAATTTATGTTTGCTCATCAGGTTACTCCTGAATTCAGCTTGTTACACTGGATTTTATTCGGGGGTATCAGAGTAAAAGGTGGGGAATAGAAGTGGATTCCAGACATTTGACTTTTACATGCATTTTGCAGTCATGCACTACTTTAGACATCGATAGACCAACGCAAAGAGAAACTGAAAGATCTTCAGAATATCTGGAGAGCTTTTGACCAAGAAGGCAACATGGAGGCCTGGCGACTTGGAAGGAAAATAAATTATCATTAAATTATTAATTAAAAATATGGGAATCCTTTTGCAGAGTGTAATCCAGTAACATGAAAGGGGAAAAAAAGGTCAAATGCCTTTCCTCCTCTATCATTCCCAGCCAAGGTCTGCAGAGGCTTCCATCCTCTTCCTCAGAGAGGAAGGCCAGTGGGAGGCTCCCATCTGCAGAGCCGTGGCTAATCTGCTACCTCACACTCCTCTGAGCGTGAGGTCGCACGCTCGTCCCTCTCACTTGTAGAAAACCTTTGTTTCCCACTGGATGTCTGCTGGATTTCCAGCAGACATTCCCACTGGAAGCTGCGGCTCCCGTCTTCATTTCTTTAACTCAACATACTTCTCCTCTGCCCCCTCCTTCCGCTCGACCTTCCATCCCACGCAGCAGCCCCGCGCATATTAGAGCTCATAATGAGAAAATCCATGATTGTTTTTCATAATTAACGAGCAGATCAAAGTCTGAGCCCTGCAAAGGAGGCAGAGCAGCTATTGGTCGATTCGAGAGGGAAAGAAAGAGCAAGAGGGACAGCTAAAAAAAACTGTAAAAAGAGAGATTTGGTTTAAGCATCCTCAGCTTAGCACCACCGATGCACATGAATACGCCTGGGGAAAATCATTTACAGCTAATTCTGCAGCCAGATTGCTTGGACGTGGATTTCTGTTGGGTTGTGAAAACGCAGATCAAATGCAGAAAAAAATAAAAAATAAAAAATGGCCCTCTGGGGATTTTTTTTCTCTCTTTATTGTCAGGAATTGATGTGAAAAGTAAAAACCTTTTCTCTGAGATCTAGTTTTTTTCTTTATTTGTTTCCTGTTTGTACTTTCATGCTTCGACATCACAGCGCATGTTGGCAGACGCGAGGCGTATGTGGAGCACAGCTTCCTCACATCTTCGCTCCGGAGCGTTATTTATAGCCGGTCCCGTCTTCATCATCTTCATCATCGCAGGAGAAGAAAGCGAAAAGGTGGAGGACGAAACGCCGTTTTTTTATTTCCCTCAGCATCAGGGAGAAGCTGCCAGGGCCTCCAGCTGTGCGGGGCCGCAGCGCCTCGTCCAAACTGTCAGAGCTGCAGCTTGATCTTATTCCTGCGAGCCGAGCCGAACCGAGCCGAGGGAGCGGCCGGCCGACGGGCGGCTTCAAACCAGATCCCACTTCACCGTGACACCTTCGGGTCGGAGCGTCTCTACTCATTCCTGACAGCAGCGACAGTCAGAGGAAGAAGAAAAACACTCAAGCATAAGTTAAATAAAAATTGGGTTCGACAATGTGTCGCTGCAGTATTTTTAGCTGGCCCTTTATTTTCTTCCAGAGCTTGAAGTCTTTCATCAAAGGCTGCTCATTTGTCATCAGACGGCAACTTGGGTTTATTTTAAGGCCTGAGCAAACCGAGAACTCTTTTAGCTGTTTTACAAATTTATAATTGCATGACAAGTCGTCTATCATCTTGTTTTAATCTATAAGAACCATGTTGTAAATATGTTTAACACAGACATGAGTGAATCATTTGGGCCCAAGCTACTCTCTTCTATCATCCTGTTACCAGACTCTTATATTTTAATCCTACCTGCTTGGACCTTTAGGTTGTTTCATACCTCACTTCTCCAACTGATGACAAAAAAAAAGGCATCATTGTTACATTTTCAGCTGGTTTGGTTTTCTTTCTCTCTGAACTGTTAAATAAACCAAACTAACTGACAAACCTGTTCACCACCGGGGAACTATGGAAGGAAACGAGGCAAACGGCTCCGATGAAGACTCTGAGCGCAACTTCCCTCTTCACAAAATGTCAACCAAAATAGAGCTATGTCATATTTTAGCAATTGGAGGGTTTGTCATTTGTCCTTGGTACAAGACCACAATCCATTTCTAGCCAGCATCAGACTAGTGCATTTGTTTTGGTTGTATTTACCCAGAATGCCCTGCGCAGCACTCCACTTCCTGCTTTTGAGGTCATCTCTGGTCCGCTTGCATTCACATTGAGCCGCATCAGAATTTAGGTCAACCAAACCCATATCGAGGTTTGTAGGTGGACCAGAGCTCGCTATTTTCGTTTGAATATGCATTCACTCCTCCCCAAAGCAACCAGACGTTCTACACAAATGAACTGGAGTTCTGCTGATGCTGTTCTCACCCAAAGGAACCGACTCTAGTTTGGTAGATTCAGTTCCACTGGGTTCCAAAATTGTGTAACATTTGTTACGTTTTCATCTGCTGTGGTTCTTTTTCTCACTGCACAAAGTCAAACCAACCAAACCCATTGAGCAACCAGTTCCCCTCCTCGCCTCTGGGGGCGCTGCAGCAAGAACCTCTGAAGGAAACAACATGGTGTTGGTGGCAACTGCTGACTCGTTATTGTTTGAACTTTTTGAACTGTTTTAAATGGAGTTTCAATTGTTTCCTGGTTGAATTCTGCAGGTTCCCTTCACAGAAGCAAGGAAAAAGTGTGCAGCATCAGGTGGGGGAGGGGCAGCACTGTGACGCTCTATAAGACTTCCTCTGCCGACTCTGCTGCCTCGTTAGAAACACTTTAAACGATGAGAGCAACTTTTAGAGACCTCAGTAAACGTTTCATGGCCCCATGACTACAATTAAGTCTTAAACTGAACTGCAGCCCGTTGAACGTTCCTCCGTCACTTTTAAATGTCAAACAGACCAACAACCTGCTCAACATGTCCACCACCATCCTGTTGTGTAACCATCCTACCTTGCTTGTTGCCTCCATCCTGGGGGTGATGGCCGGAGTGGGACCCCGGGGCGAAGTGCTCGTCGCTGTACGTGATGAGCGGCGTGAGCGGGTGGACGGCGTGGGACGGCTGCACCACCGGGACTTTGTTGGACTGAGGAGACAAAAATCAGGACCATGAGACTCATCTGCTTTACGTTACTTGCAGCATGACTCAGTTTGCCGCTGCGTGACGCACGGATAACGCGACGCAGCTGCAGGTTCCGGTCTCTAAACGTTTGTTCAGGAAGATGAAATAATTTAGTAAATTTCTCGACTTGAAGCCTGGTAGCTCCAAACTTTGTTTAGCCGAGGTCAGCGGGACTGAAAGCCCGACTCCCTGCAGGGAGGCCGGGAAAACGAGTCAGGACGCAAACAGAAGAGGCGGCGTGTTGAGCGGCGCGCAGAGGAGAGGCAGAGAAACCAGAGGTAGAGCTGGAGCAGAGGTCTGAGGCTGCAGATCAAAGGCAGTCATTAGCTGGTGAATAAGGGGAGTTCATTACAGAGCCAGAGCCGGGGGATGAAGAGGAGGAGGAGGAGGGAGAGGAGGAGGAAGAGGAGGAGGAGGAGGAGGAGGGCTGACGAGAGAAAGCAGTATCTGCAGCAGCTTTTAGGAGACGGTGATCACGCAAACTGCGTGTAAACCTTCATGCCCAGCTGAGTCACTGAGACCTACGACCTCAGAGGGAAACCGGTCCAAACCCGGCCCGACCCGGTCCGACCCATACGGGCTAACCGCTTCATCTGCTTCAGCTGCAGCACACATGGAAACACTCAGCCAGGCTAAATCTACTGTTCGCCATCTGAGCCGAGCTGCAGTCCAAACCTCCACAGGAAGTTCGACTGAATGCGGGACACGTCGGGGCGCGGCAGCGCATGGCACCGCGCCGCACCGCACCGCGCCGCACCGGTTTTATCAACACCGAACTGCCAGACGGTTCTATCGATCAAGAACCGCCACCATTTCCGGTCTTTAAACAAAACATGGATGAACTTCGATGCCCTTTCTGATTTAATCAAATCATACCCAGGTTGGAGGCAGACTGCGCTTTAAATGGAAACGTTGCCAGGTGATTGGGAATCAGGCGGATCGATACAAGAAGACCGGAGGCCGCTGCACCAATCAGTCCAACAGGCCCCGCTGTTTATTGTCTTCATTATGGGCAGTTAGCTGTGCTAACCATAAAGCGCTAATCATGAACATTAGTTCTGCTAAAGATCTAAATCAACATTTAACGGAAGCTAATGCTAAAGCATCGACTTCAGTTCATGTTATTCCTGCCCTTGAAAAACTACAACCTCCAGTAACAATTGAATTTTAACATCATTTACATTTTCTATAGTCCTCTAATATTGAAATGAAATTATTGTTGAGAAAAAGAAAGAAGAGAAAACGGAGCTGCTGCCAACTTCAAGAGCATGACTATAAACATCTATTTGAATAATATATACATTTAATAATTTTGTTAATAATCAAGCACTAAATGTAAGTTTGCTTCACTGTTGGCTGAAGTGTGTCCAGTACTTTATTTAACAAAGATCATTTTTCTCACTTTTTGTCTGGAACATCTTTTGAACTGCAAGCAAAAATATGAGCTTCTGCGTATTCAGGAAGCCACTGAGCCAGCTGAACACTGAGCTAAATGTTTTTAAAATAAGCAAAAAACAGAACAGAAACATTAGCGCTTTAGCAGAAGGGTGCTAACCACTGTTTCTGTGTATTTTGGTGTTTTTACAATTTACTTTAAATAAAGTAATTCTCTTAAAGAGACGATATAACAAACGGCTTTTATTGTTGTCTAATGACTTGTGTGTTAAACAGACATTCCTGCAGTGCCAAGCAGTGACCGGTTCCCTCATCATACTCAGACACGCACACACACACACACACACACACACACACACACACACACACACACACACACACACACACACACACACACACTTCATAAAACCTCTCCAACACGGGATGCCTGGAATGTCTGAGTTTCTGCGATCCTCTCTCAGGCTGGCACCAGCTTCGGTTTAAGGCTCGCTCCCCTTCCCATCACCTTTTGGGAACATCCTAACCATGAAACGAAAGCGTCCCGCGACCACACGAGGCATCATTTACCCCGGCTCCTTAATCAGGCCGAGGCTCCAATCCCTTCTGCCAATTTAGCTCCTCGTCTTTCCAGCTCGGCTTTAAGCCTCGCGGCGCTCCATCAAACACGGGACGCAGTGGGCTCTCTGATGTGTGGCCTGTTTCAGGGAAACAAAAACTACCAGCACTGAGCTTCAGCTCAGGTGAAACAGCTTCTTTGACCTCCAGTCACAAAGGGTCAAAGGTGATGGGATAATCCAGGAAGGTGGGCGTGTCTCCACAGAGGGACAGGCTTCTTAATGAGGCTGTTAAACCTGAAGGGAGGGACTAAGCAGGCCAAAGGGAGCAGGACATGCCCACACTGGAGGCTAAATTACAGCTTTCTCGCCAGTATTATTTTAATCCGCTCCACTCCCATTTGTTCTCCTGTGGGAATGAGATAAGCACCTAAAAGTCTCTCAACTTGTAGAGGAGAAAAAGCTCCTGGAAGTGACCAACTCTGGAGGAGCAGCTCCTCGGCTTCTCCCAGTTCCAGCTGTCAAATCCCATTTTTCATCAAGTTCCCAATAAACAGCTTCCATTCAGGGAGAAAGAAAGGCAAATCCACCATGGAAGAGCTGCAGACCTGTGACCAATACAGAATAAATGGCTTTTTGGCTGAACGACAAACATTTCCTTCTGGAGGAAAGAAGAGTCATCGATAACGGGACAGTTAAGATACGGGGAGCGTCAGTTCTTTAGAGATCAGGAACAACATTCTCCTGATTGATCAAGGAGCGAAGACGAGTTGGTTTTCGACTTCGTCCTTCGTTTTATCCGACGGGACGGGAAGCAGAAGCTCTCTGGACCCTGAATCGGGTCGATTCCTGGGACAATCGGGACCATGGAGGTAGAATGGTCCAGTGGAAACCGTGTTTCCTTTTGAGCTGCACAATATGGCTGGAAAACACATCACAATACAAACGTTTCAAATCAGTCAATACCGATATGTATTGATTAGTTTTAATCAGTTTAAATATCTGAAATAGTCAAACTGCTGGCGTGACCTTTACCCTTTTATCCACAGTTTTTACTCCATGTCATTAATTGTCACTTTTAAGCAGTTAGCAGGTTGTTGCCGAGTGGGTTAGTTGAAGCTACCAACCTAGCTTAGCTAGCCTTGTGAGTCTTTCCTCTGACTACATTTCCCAGAATGCTGTGCGGTTCTGGATTGGAGTGAGGCGAATATTTTATTCCTGAAATAATGAGAAAAAATACTTTTGGACAATGACTTTTGCCATTATTTTGGGGAGGCAATAAAATTGAATATCTTATCAGATGCATTATTTATTGATATTGATCATGTGTCCAATGCGATATATAGTGTTATTGATTTGTAGCCCCAGTTTCCATCAACATTGTTTTTATTTGCATCACATTGCAAAAGGTTGATGGAGACATCAAAATTTAAAATGAACTTCCTTTACTTCTCGGAAATGTTTTCATATTCGCCTGAGGAGGTTTTTAGGGTTAATTTGCGAGATGGAGACAAACTTGTACCTCACATGATCAGTCGTTTCTGCTGTTAGACTCATTTCTTTCTCAGCGTCTCCAGACACTTTATAACATCGGCAACACCAGGAAAAAGACAAAACAATTGCAGCTCTCTAAAAAACTCTCCTTATTTCTGTTCCATGCTAGTTTGCAACTTCCTGCCTATTACAGCTGTGCGTACCGCCAACACTGGCAACATTAACTGGCCTGGTTGATTAAACCCAAACCTTTAGATGCACAATTTGCATTTCCTGTTTTGTTACATTTTAAAAGTTTGATCTAAATCCACATGACAGTTGGATGAAAGCTCTACAACTGTTGCCTCCTTTGGGAAAGTTTTCAGACATTTCCCACTGGAAGGCGACTTCAGGACAGTCGCAGAATTTCCCTTTTATCTGAGGATGCCATGGATTCCCAAAGAGGAATTTTTAGACAGCAAGACGCCAAAAGTTTTTTCTTTGGACTTGCTGTCTCACCAACTTGGCGTTGGGTGCAGATAGATAGAGTTTCCTCCAAAGGACGACTGTCGTCTTATTGTATTAGTTTCATTATGCAACCATGGAAATGTTTATGTAGCAACATCAGCTTCCTGAATGTGCCTCAGATTTTTTTAAATGAACTAAAATTAGGATCGGAAAGGGAAAAAAACTGGTTTCAAATGTAAACTAATTAAAGACACCGAGTTCGTTTCGTCTCGTTCCCACCGTGACTCCAAAAGCTCCGGTGGAGGGCAGCCATTTTGGATGTCTCTTTCCGTTTCACTGGACAAATAATAGGCTTACACTGCAAAAACACAACATCTCCCAAACTATTTTTGTCTAGTGTCTACTGCAGATATCGTAGTACACTTTAAATAAGACAAGACTAACTGAAAAGCAGCTTTTCACAATATGTGAGCTTGCTTTGTCCCTTTCCTCAATATTGATGAAAACATACTAATAAAATAATGGTAGATTTTTTTCACTTCTAACTTTCGGAAAATGTCTAGTTAGTAAAATAATGTGCCAGTGGAACTAGAACTGTTTCAATGTGAAGGAATTGAAACAAGCTGCAATATCTTGATGAAAAGTTACTTCTAAGTTAGTTTTGTCTTATTTTGCACTAGAAACTAAACCAAATATACTTGGTAAGATTTAGCGTTTTTGCAGGGTGGGACTTCTTCTTTGCTTAGGAAGAGCCGAAGAAGGGAAGACTGATCATATCCAGGCTTGGCTGGGCCTTCAGATGTGGTTTAAGGTGAAATTTATTGTCTGGAACCAGCACTGGCGGGAAGCCCTGGGTGGACAGAGACTCTGGGTGTTTATTTGGTCCCTTTAAAGGCTGATGATCATGAGAAACACGTCACACCAGAACCATCCACCCCTCCTAAATGTTGCCTTCTGAACCATCCCTCTCCTTCTTCCGCCTCACAGCTTTTGTACTCCACTCAATTATAGCACTTCTGCAGAGTGGAGTGGGGGGAAAAAAGGCAAAAGCGGGAATTTTATAATAATCACTTC